ATTTTCAGATAAAATAATTTCATCTAAAATAAATTTTAATTCTTTATTTTCTTTAATTCGTTGTCCATTCTCTAAAATACTCCAAAAAACCGTATTTGCATATAATAATTGATCATTTTCATCAACTTCTTCAATTTAAAAATAATTTTCTAAACAAGGTAATAATTCCATTAAACGTATTTAAATTTAATTTTTAATTTAATTTTATGTTCTTTCAATTTATCTTCTTTAATCAAATGCATCTTAACTAATAATTTAAATTGTTTAATTATCATTATTAATTAATTAATTCATAGAATCTCTAACATTTTTAACAGTTTCAAATCTATGATTTCCTACATTTCCTTCAAAAGGTGTTGTTATTGAATTTATAAATAATATTTTTGGATTTGGCATTTAATCATAAATATTATTAATTTTATTTAATCCTTTTTATAATTAATCTTAAATTTAATTTCCTAAATCATAACTAGTATTAACTAAAAAACATTTTCTTATATATTGTCTTCCAAATAATTCAGCTAAATGAAAAATAATTTGTTTTTCTTAATTATTTAAATCTTAATTTCTAAATCTTCTACAAATAAATATACAATGAATTTAAATATTATTATTTTTAAGATGTTCATATGTCTATAATAAAATCTTATAATTCTCTTATTCATTTTATCCATATCCTTGTACTTCTAAAAATTTAAATTAAATATTTTAATAATCTAAATCACATTCTTATATATTTCCATTAAAATCATATTCAGAAATATGATATCTATATTTATCTGGATAATCAATAAGAAGTGAATTTCCAATTGCATTAATAAAAGTTGATTTTCCAGATCTTTGTTCTCCAATCACTAAAACATTTTTTCCTTATTGTAATCTATTTTAATATTCAAATCGAAATGTATATCCATTATCTCCATATGGAAGTTCAGAAAATGATTGTTTACTTTATTTTTATCTATAATTATAGACTAATTAAAATTATTCAGCTTCAACTTCAGACATTATCTATCTTTAAGCATTTAAATTATTAGCCAACTAATCAATACTCAATATCCCTCTTTTTATTAAGTAATTTTTGTTAATCGTATATTATTATCTTAGTTACTAAGGATTCTATGTAATTACCATAAATTGCTTAATATTTTTATTTTATCCTTCATCTTAATATTGACATAAGAATCCAATAAGATCAAGTTCAGGTTTTCTAGATGGACAAATACCCATTAAATAAATTATTGAATTGATTATAAACTTAGATTTAGATAAAAATTATAAACATAAATACTCATTAAAAATAAACTCTATCTGATTAAATAATAATTAATCCAAACATAATATATATTAAATTAATATGCAACATTTGTTTATTAAAATATGACTATATTTTTTATATTTAAGCTTCCAATTATATTTAATTCCAGATACAATAAATGCAATTAATTTTATGTTTTTTCAAAATTTTATTTTTCTCAAAACCTAATAAATGTATTTAAAAAGATTTTTACTAATTAGCAATCTTAGTAATGTTTAATGTTCAATATAGTTAAATAATCTCAAACTCTTAATGTTTAATGGAGTTTTATCCACTATGTTATCCATTCAATATTTTTCTAATTTGAATAGGGTTCTTCATTATTAACTCTAATCTAGAATAATTATTCCATAGAGTAACCAAAATTATGAGAAGTGGATCAATCTATATATCTCTCTAATTTATCATGAAGTGGGGTGTAGCTCCAGGGAATAAATAAAATTTTTTGATTACTAATTTTAATTATTCAATAATATCAATATCTTTAATGATAACTAGATAATGATCCTTAACCTCTGTTAAATATTTTAACTCTCAATATATCAGTATGGATGTGTTGTTAAGGTTATTTTATATAGAGTATTATCATATTGGATTCTTAAAAATAAATTTAATCTTCAATATATATGTCATCTGTTATTGTTATTAAGCTTATCTAATTACATTATCCATTTCTTCTATTAATTATTGCTTACTTACTAGTTTTAGAAGCTTTTTAATACTTTGATGTATCCCTATACCATCATTATTTTTTGTCATTCATTTGTTCTGTAATAACCTATAATCCATTACTCTAAGTTTCATCTCAATCTCATTAAGATTTCAGGATTTGTATGTTTTACTCCCTTTCCATATCAAGCTGCCGCATAATGATCTAATTTATAATTCCATGTCTTATTCTTAAATATGAAGGATTACATGTAAGATGTAAAATTTTCCATCCTCTATATTACCAAGAGAATACACAGTTTATAAGCATTTACTATCTACCAAGGTTATTCTTGTTATTTTGATAATTTCTTGCTAGAATTAATCATTTTTATTGGTTAGGATGTCCTTTTATATTTGGATATTGAATTGATCTTAATTTATTTTTGAATTGAGTTCTTTCTCTTCTATAGATGAGATATTTTTATGGAATATGACCTAAATCTTATCTTATTAGATTAATATTTTATCGATCAATTNCCCATTAAATAAATTATTGAATTGATTATAAACTTAGATTTAGATAAAAATTATAAACATAAATACTCATTAAAAATAAACTCTATCTGATTAAATAATAATTAATCCAAACATAATATATATTAAATTAATATGCAACATTTGTTCATTAAAATACACTCGATGTTCAACTTAAACTCAACCTCTATTAAAAAATCCTGATCTATTTATTTTTAATTAACTGAAAACCTCAGCATAATTTAAATTAAGTATCGATTTATCGTAACTGAATAGAAAATAGAATCAATTTTTAATAGGATTTAATTTTAAAAACTGTGTTTATTTAAAATAAAGTAAAACATAATATTTATTAGATAAATATTTAACAAAAAAATGAAAAAGATAAGAGTTCATAAAATTGAAATTTCAAACAAACTTTATTTTTAAATAAAAAATTATTGAGTATTTATCTATGTTGAATAATAAAAAATTTTTTATAGAATTGATATGTTAAATAAAATATTCTATAAAAGCTCAAAAATTTAGTGATGTTTAAATTGGAATGGATAGTAACATAAAAATATTTGGTTATAAATAAATTCTCTCTTTAAATATTTATCTTGAAGAGATATTTTTTATTAATATATCAATGCTAAATAAATACATATTTCTTATTCAATTTTTCAATATCTTATTCCAATTATATTAATTCTTTTTCATAATTTTCTTTTCTTCTTTTCACTCCTATTGTTCCAAACACTCTACAATGTGTTTACTATTAATATTAATGATTTAATTCATCATATTTCTTTTTTAGACCTTGTCTTATTTATTCTAACTCTTCATCAGGGATTTATTGTCTATTAAGAATTAAATAATATATACAATTTATTATCTTATTCTTATTATTCTAATTATTTTCTGTATTATTCTTCATAAAATTATTCTTTAATAGTGTCTTTAATTTGAGTTAAATAAGGGGGAACTTTTCCATAAGTAGATTTTTTAGTCCATTCAGGCTCTGTTTCTTGTTTCTTAGGATCTAAGTAGTATTATAAAATATAACTAGCTAAAATGACATCAATTGCATTAGTAGCAATAAAATTTTTATGTTATTTTAATCCCATAATAGGTTTTTCACACAACTTAGGTATTTATGGTTTAGTAGCAGAATGTTAATGTGTTAGATCAACACTTCTATGAATAGATCCTTTTTCAGCCCAGATGTCTAGACTATTATTACCCATATGTCTATGCTTAATTGGTTCTAGTTTTTCTAAAGTTAAGAATAATATTTACAATTTTTAGATTTACCCAAAACACCACTTTCTGATCGATAGCGATTATGTTAAATTATGTATGATCCATTAACATTAGTGACAGGGATTATTAAAGATTGAGTTCCAAATGTACTTCCTGTAGGAGCAATGGTTCCAGGAATAGTGGACTTATATAATTTAGTAACTTTTTTTGGAGGAGTTTTCTCTTTAGGAATTAGATTATAAATGCTTTCTTGCATTATTATATAATAAAATTTATTGAGAATGATTGTTTTAAGAAATAAATAAATTTATTAAATAATTTTTAACAGTTCAATGGCATCAAAAGTGAAAATAGAATGCATAAAATAAGGATACTAAATTAGCAATGAAATGAAAATAGATATAATGGACTTTTACAATAGATCATTACATTAAGAGCATTATGCTCATAAAACTGATTATATTAGACACAATCTAGAAGAGAAATATGGTAATGAATATATATATAAAAAGGTCGATGTTTTTCAGTAATAATATATTAAATAGGTTCATTTGTGTCTCATTCATTTTTACATGCAGATGATTTTTTGTTAGAATTGAGATCACCTGAACATCATATTCTTGCATATTTATTACCTCCTTCATATACTCCTCCTCCATTGATCCCAGATCCTTAAGTTTTACCATTAAGTAGAACATTACCTCATCCATTACATGCAGCTAGACCTGTTTAATTGTAATTATTTATATTTACTTTAGTTAATAATCACCTTAATCCAAAATATCAAATTATCCTACATAATATTCATCTTATTATGCAAATAAATATTATGATGGTTATTATAGAAGAGGATATTGGTGATATCAATCAATTTTTATTTATTTTATTAATAAAATTTAACAATCCATGCATTCCTTTCGAAATCCAATTATTCCAAATTAAGAAAGATAAAGAGGAGGTAGTTTTAATGCTAAAACATTAATAAAGAATACTCAAAATAGTATTAAAACTGAATCATAATCATTATTATTATAACAAAATAAGTCAAAATAGACATTTGACTTTCAAATAACAAATAATAATTCATCCTCTTTACTTAATCCTCATATAAATTACTCAAATAATTTATAAAGTACTGAAAAATCAATCAATACTTAAAAGTTATCAACAATAATTTCAAAATTTTCAGCTTAAAATTTGAATCATTTGAGTCCATTCAATTTTAACACTATCAAAATAGATGGTATATCTGATAATAAATAATTAACTATTCAAAATACAAGAATTGATTTATTATTGAAAGAAATATCTGACATTAAACTACAAAATGAAAAAGTTAAATAGTTTTATTAATCTCAAATTCTCAATTTGTAAAATACTTAAGACTAATTAACTATAGAAAATATCAGTTTATCAAACTCAATCAAAGGATTAATTTAACAACTCTTTGATGCTAGGTTTACTATGCAAAGAATTTATTAAAAAACAGATTTAGATAAATTTACTAATTCTTTTGATTTTATTGATATCAACAATCATCTTAATATCTAATAAGCTTTCTACTATTACTAATCAGAAATATTCTAATTCATTTAGTAATATTAAAGCTAAACTAATTAAAAAATTCAATCAAAATAATAATAACTCAATCAAATAATTATTAAGTTGAATTTAATTATTTAAAAATAAAAAGTTCATGATTAAAAATACATAATTAATGACTTAAACTATAATTTATCAAATAAAATTCAATCCTAAGAATTATAATTGAAAAATATTTTGAAAAAATAAGTTGATTAGACTATTGAAGAATAATTTAATGAATTCAAAAAACAACATTAAATTATTGTTAATAATTTAGAGAAGGAAAAATAAACTGCTTAAGAATAGGAATCTTAACTCAAAAGGGAATTCTAGATTAGAATTTAAAAATTAGAATAAGAACTTAGTATCCTATTATATGAAAATCAAAAAAAAGAAAAACTTATTTCTGAATTAAATGACTTAAATAAAGCAAAAGTAATTCAAGTAAATTAATCTTAATTTTTAGATACAAAAACAAGAAGAAATGTAGTAATTAAAAGCAAAATTATAAGAAAGTCACAATATTTAAATTAATCTTAATGATTAAATAGTTTTGCTTAAGTAAAATTGTAATAGTCTATCTAATGATTGTGAAAAATAACAATCTGAAATAGCAAAATTATTAAAAGAAAAATAAGATATCTCAAATTAATTTGAGAAAAAGCAAATTGAATACATGGAAGTAATAAAAAGTTAATAATTAAAAAATGACAATTAATAAATCTAAATTGATAAATTAAATAATGAATGGTAATAAAAAAATCACACATTATCAGAAACAATTAAGATAAATGAATAAAGATTAATTAAACTATAAGACAATTATAAAACCTTATAAAAATAAAAATAAGAACTTGAAAATCTACTTAAGTAATCTCAGAATGAAATTATTAAACTAAAAGATTAGATAGATTAAATATAATAATTTTAAGCTAAAATAAATAAATTGAATTAGACAATTTAAAATTTAATAAAATAAAATTAATCATATGAAAATATGATTAATCAAAATATGTCTGAAAAAAAGTAGTTAGAAAAATAAATAGTTGAATTAAAACAACATAATTTATAAAATATAGAATAAATATCTAGTGATAAAATCTTAAAACTCTCAAAAGAGAATGAAGATAATCAATCAGAGATTCAATTACTTTAATTACATATTCAAAAAGAATAAGTTAATCAATAATCTTTGAAAACCTAAATTTTAAACTTAAAAAATGATATTATCTAATATAAATAATAGAAAGCATAAATGGAACAATAATTAGATAAACAATAAAAGTAAAATTAAGAATTACTAAAGTAAATGGAGGATGTAATTTAAAATAATTTAAATTAATAAGAATAATAAACTATTGAGTGGCAAAATCAGTAAAGAATGCTTTCTAAAAGGTTAATAGAATCTGAATAGAATTTAAAGGATTCTTAAAATTTAAATGAGAAATTAGGAGTGAGAATTTCAGAATTGGAGTAGTAATTAGAAGAAGAGATTGATAAAAATTAGTAGATGGCAGAAGATACAAAAAAATATTAAATTGATTCAAAATAGAAAGATATTTAAATATCAGAATGTAAGTCACAAATATAAATTTTAATTTAATAACTTAATAATATTGAGAAAGATAATTAAGTTATAAAGGAATATTAAAATAAAACGAAAAATTTAGAGGAAGAAAATAAAGAGCAATAAGAAAAATGGTAGCTAGAATAGAATTCATATATTGAATAAATAGAATAATATTAATTAAGATTAAAATAATATGAAGATGAAAAAATCAAAGAAAGTGATAATTATTAAAATTAACTCAATGAAAAGTTAACGTAATCTTTAAAAAAATTGGAATATATACAATAATAATTATAAGAAGAACAATTAAAATCTAATTAATTGATGAAATAATTATCAAGTGTATCTGAAAATAAGAGTTCTTAGCCAAATTAAGATATGATGGTTTTATTTGATGTATAATATTCTCCAAGAGATAAATAAATAGAAACAATATAATTACCTGAAAATAATTAATCTGAAGAATAGATTTCTACATTATAATAATAACTCAATTTATTATAGGAATAATTAAAATAATATAATGAAAATTTAGAAGAGAAAAATATTATGATAGATGAAATAATGCAAAAAAAGTAATAAATAGAAAGTAGTTTAGATGAAGCTATTAATAAGATTAATGAATTAGAAAATTAGATTTCTTTTTTTAAATAAGAATAATAGATATTAGAGAAATTAAATAATGATATTAAGAATTATTAATAAAAGATTTCCAATTAGCAAAAACATATTGAAAATTTATAACATCAAGTAGAAGAATTATAATTAGAAGTATAGAAATAAGAAGATAAGTTTAAAATTTTAGGAACCATTTAATAATCAAGTGAAGAGTAATTATTGAGAGAATTGATTTCTTAAAAAGATTAAGAGATTATGAATTTATAAGAAGAATTAAAAAACATTCATTAATAAGTAGAATAAAGAATGAATAAGTCTGTTATTAGTAATCATTCTAAAAAAAGTCAAAATATGGTTAAATTTGAATAATTAGTAGATAATGATGAAAATGAAATTTCTGGAGAATCATATGATGAAGAATAAATATTTATCGAGAAATTATAATTATAGAAAATATTAGAAGAAAATAATGAAAAGATTAAATTGTTAGAAATTTAGTTATAAAATACACAAGTATATACAGAAGCAAAAGTTAATTAGGAGATAGGATATTTAACAAATCAATTAGATAAACAAAAAAAAATAATTGAAGAATTGAAAAGTTTGAATTAAAATTAATTTTAGGAATTAGAGAGAAAAGAATAAATGATTGAATAATTAAAAGAAGATTTATAGAAATTATATGATGAGAAAGAAAAATAAATGAATAAATCTATATTTAGTAATAGATCAAAAAGGAGTCAAAATTATATAAATTTTGATTAATTTGATGATATTTAAGATGAGAATAGTGTAGAATCAGATGCAATTATTGATAAATTGATATAGTAAAAATAATAAAATGAAATATTGGAATTATAGAAATAAGTTGAATAACAAAATAAAATGATTTAAAAATTATAAGAAGAAAAAAGTATAAATATATATTATATAATAAAGATTTATTCTTGTCCAAAATGAATAATATATGAAGGAATATGAAGTTAAATGACAATAATGATTGATTTAATTGATTATATTCATTTATTATGGCTGTTTTCAATAAAAGATCATATATATTGTACTGTAGGCTAAGAACTAAAAAAATTTGTATCTATCATATCTGATGAGATTTTTTATGAATTAAAAGATTGTTTAATAGTGTGTTAATTTCTAGATATAACTTTAACATTAGTGCATTATTAATTAAATCTTGATTTATGATTTCCACGATCATTTGTTGTATGAAGAGAATCACATAGTACAAATCCTTATTAAGCTTTTATTTTATAAAATTAATCAACAGTTTATGAGACAGATTTAGAATGAGAACCTATAAGATTAGACTATGGACTTAAAAATTATTTTAAAATTCGCACTTTCTCTTAAATTTATGGACATAGAACTCTGAATTATCTTTTACTCATAGTAAGAAATGGTAAACACATAGTTTAGTAGTCTGGATCTTCATATGAATTATTATTTTCTTCTGGTATTTAATTACGTTTAATTTAATCCAAATAATCTTTAATATCTTTTTATTATTTACTAAAGAAAGGTGTTTTGGATCTATATAAATAAATTTTATATAAATACTTAGGTTTTGTTGGTTAAAATTGTTCAAATTATTTTTCAACACGAATTAATAAACATTTTTAAAAATTATCACCAGCCATTTTAAGCATATTAAATTCTTCTTATTTATTAAAAACCTTATCTAATTTTGAATGTTATAAAGCAATTGATTAATTTTATTCAACCATTTATTATTTTGTCATTTTAGGTTATATTGAAGATCTTAAAATTGGAGATGATATTTGTTTTTATTTAACTAATTTAGGTTATTAAATAGTATCAATATCATTTAAATATCTTCTTTCAATAACATTATTGTCTTCTTTCTTATTGAAATTAAGATTGAAAACTTTAGTTTAAATAATTTCTTCTAATCTTCTATTATACAGATTTATATTCTTTTTTTAGAGTTATAATAGAGGATTAATGAATTCAGGGAATTACTTTTTAACAATTTAATAATTTTCAAGATGTAAAACAAAAAGATTACAAGGAGTAACAGTTTTAACAGTATAATCTCTTTTTTCATTTTATAAATATAAATCTGTTTCACCAACAAAACAACCATCTGTTAAATTTGCTATCTAATTAATTAGAATATAAATATTACAGTAATTATATCAGTTTAAGAAGTTTTTTCTTTTTTATTTTCAATAGGAAATTAATTTGAATCTTATTTTAGAAATGGATATAAATCGATTGTTTTTTATAATAGAATTTCTCCGTCTTTAAGAAGAAAGAAACTATCAACAAGATCATTTTATTTCCATATTTTATAATTGGATGGGTATTTGTATTATGAAAAATACATAATTAATTTACTAATTTTGAATTTAGTCATGGAAGGAAACATCTTCAAAAAATAATCAATTTTATCTTATTAGGATTTAATTTATTTTTCGAATATTTTCTAATATATAATTGAAATAATAAATATACTTTAAAATTAGTTTTATTAAGTGATAATGCTTATAAATCAGTAATAGATATAATGGTTGCAGCTCTAGGTTTATCAGTAGTTAATGCCATATCACCAAAATATTATCCAGAATGAAGTTAAGATACTTATTAAAATTTACAGATTCCTAAATTAGTAAAATACATATCAAATTAATGTGTATTTAATAGAAGTAATTCTGATTCAATTTATTTTATTGGTTTAGTTAATTTTTTAATTATTTTTTCATAAAATAAGAATCTTTATTCTTATTAAATTTAAGATATTGAATTAAGCTACATTTTATCTAAAAGCTTTGTAATAAATGGTTCTATTTCTTATTCTTCAATTTCAATTTGTTATTATTATCTTTTAATATAGACTGCTGCAGTTCCTGAAAGTATGATATAAAATTTATCTCCTTAATCACCTAATTAAATATTAATGATTGATATACCAATATGAAAAACAGCATTTTCTTTTTAAAATCTTTCATATTGTAAATTTTAAGAAATTAATCTTGTAAATTCAAAAAGTGTACTAGTTTCTGGACACCATGTTTTGAATATCTCTATATTTTACATAATTCCAGTTATAGAATCCACTTGCATTTCTGTAAATGATTAATTATCTGCATACATTTATATAACAGGCTTAAATAAATAAGTAAATTATAAATACAGCATATATTAGTTCTTTAGATTTGATTTCATCTTGTATGTCTATTTCTTTACCATTAGTTTTTCGTCTACTCATTTATATTTATATTAATAAAAATCAAATGTAAAAATAACATTCTGTAATTTTAACAATAGGAGTTCTATTATCTTTGTTGTATTATTTTATTTATTTATTGTTTAGCTTTAGTTCAAAGTTCGATATAAATGAAGGCACTGTTAATATCAAATTAACAATATAAACAATGTCATGGATTTTAATTTCTATGATATTAGTTCTTATTTAACATTTATATTCAAGAAGAAAGATTCCTTCGCAGCCTTAATCAGAAATAATTTAAGAATAAATTAAACAAACAGATTCGCCCATGCGGCCAAGAAAAGAAGCTGCTTTAATTGACGAATAATTTACATTAAGCAAGTAAGATTCTTGTGTTGACATGGGCGAATAACTTAAATTAAGGATGACTTAAAGTTATAAAGATTTTGATGAAATTTCTATAACATCTAGTTTCAGAAAAAGATCTAATTCTATAGCAAGTGAAGGCATATAAAGAAAGGTTTCTTTTGATGAAAGTTAAAACAAAATTCATACTTATAAGAAGAATAATAAATTAGAAATCAAAAATTTTGAATCTAGTTTTATAAACATGAAGTAGGAGAAAAAAAAGAAAAATGAACTTATTAAATAAAAGAGAAAAGAAGAAAATTTCAAAAAATTGAATATTAATGATATCAATAAGAAAGGAAGAAAAAGAAAATCTTCTTTAGATGAGAATTTATCCTAATCCTCATATTGATCTATCATTAAAATTTATAATAATAATAAATATCATTCTAGAATATATATTATTAAATAAATATATATAAAATTTTGTTGCTAAATAATTTACTTGAACTATTTATAATTTAACAATATATAGTAAATAATTTTTAAACTAAATTATGTCAAACACGCTCTTTTAAAGAAATGCCAATTCTAACATTTTTTAAGGAAGTTAACCTAATTCTAATTCTTGGAACATACCTTAGTAATAGTTTTTTTACTAATTTTAAGAACAACAAGAAAACGTGATGTCTAAGGATCATATAGAGCCAAGTTTGAACAAATAAAAATTTAAGTTGTAGATGATAAAAATGTGTTATCTACATCAATTATATTTTAACCATAATATGAAAAAATGGTATTCTTATATTAATATTTATAGACAATGATGATGATTAGATTAGAGGATTATTATTTAATACGAGCATAATAAATAGATGATTTTCATATTTCTACTATTTAAAATGCTATTCAATGTAAAAGATTCAATCCTAATTTGATATCTAAAGTTGTTGGTCAATGTAAATCTTAATTTATATTTTAGCTATCAATATACCATTATTTCCTATTCAGAAAACAGCTAATTCTATTTGGGAATCAAATAATCAATCCTAACATTAATAAAACATTTTTAATACTAATACAACATCTCTAACTGATAATAGATAATAAAACAATTTTTTCAGTTCAATGAACAATTAAAATAATTAGTAATAATAATCAAAATAATAATATGGTAATATATTCAATACTCCATCAATAGTTAATCATTCTAATAATAATCATTCTCCAAATATCTTCTCCAATTAAAGATAGGAGTAATAAACAACAAATATATTCAATTCAAATTAAAATGTTTTCAATAATAATAAACCTTAATCTGAATTCAATAATTATTAATCCAAAGATTAAAATCTTCCTTGGACTTAATCCTCATAATAATCTGGTAATATTTTTTAATAAAACAAACCATAATTATAAATTTAAATTCCCAATCAATAATAAATTAATGATCCCTCCTAAATTAATAATAATCCTAATAATAATCAAACCATCTTCTCACAACCTTAATAATAATTGTTTATCAATAATATGTAATAACCATTTTTATAACAATAACCATCACAATAATTGCAATAATAATAAATGTTTTAGTAATAATAATAAATATAATTACAATAATAATAATAATAATAATAATAATAATCACAAATGATGCCATTACAAATGCAAATACCATAATAATCATTTCAAACATTCTAAAATTTGAATTCCATCAATATGTTAGCGAATGATTTACAAATGATTTAATATTAAAATTAAATGAATCCTATTCAATTTATTAAACAATCAGTAGATATGATTAACAATTTCACAACCTCATTAAATAATTCAATCTAAGAGATGGAGAAATTGTACAAACTTGAAGAAGAAAAATATTTAGAATAAGAATATCTAATTAATTAACTTGAATAAAAAAAAAGAATTGAAAGATAAAAAAAATAATAAGAAATTAATTTATTACCAAAAAAAAAAAATGATTCTCATACTCTTTTTAGAATGACTCCATCTTCTAATAATATGACTCTAATTAACAGTTAAAAAAGTTCAAGAATTAGTATACAATAATAATAATCAACTAATTATGGATTTAATGCTAGCAGAATATCATAAAAATCAACTAAAATTAAAAAAGAATACATAATTGAAATCTATTTTGAAGAAAGTGAAAATTTTATAACTTTCAATGAAGAATTTAATGATACTAAATCAAAAGTTGATTATAAAGATCATGTACTGTAAAAAATTGATCAAATGTAAGTCTTTAAAAATGATAAGGCTGCCTATTTTGCAAAAAGTGAATTTATTATTGATGAAAATAATAATTAAGATAATCATCAAACTTTATCATTTCGAATTCTATAAACATATAGACCAATCTTAACAAAAAAAGGTTATTATACTTTACCAGATATCAATCAATTAACTATTAATTAATTAAAAAATGTAGAAGATTTTACTATTTATAATGAATTTGGTTCATTAAGATGGGACTCTCCTACAAATTTATTGTATATCAATTTAGATAGGATTGTTGATATTCAAGATTCTAAAGTAGAAGTATATGATTTAGATTAAATTCATGAATATTTGAAACCAAAAATTAATAAAAAACTAAATAAATCTTGTTTGATTACTTTGAAAGTTCCTATCACAATCAATCAAGAGAATTATGAAACTGAATCAAAATTTTTATAATAAAAATGTAAAGAACAGAATATTGAACTTGTGGAAATAGATTAAATTAAATAATAATTTGTTGTTAGAGTTGATCATTTCTCAATTTATACATTTGTTCATGATGAAAACGAAGAACAATAACAACAAATAGTAGAAAGTTAAAATATTATCTCTTAATAATTACAATAATAATAATAATCATAAACATAATCAGAAATTAAAATTAATAAAGAAAATAAAACAAATATTTCTTAGAAAGAATTAGAATTTTATGAACTTCAAAATCAATTTTTGTAATAAATAAATGATGTTTCTAGCTTAACAAAATAATCTACAAATTAAAAAATAAAAAAAATAAATCAAAAATTTGGATTAAATATTGAATTAAGATAAGATTTTTAGATTTGTGTTAGCAATAAAGAAATGAATTAAATTGATTATGAATTATGCGAGTAATTCATAAAAGAATTTAAATTCGACAATGAAATTCCTACAGAAAATTAATTTTGTATAATACTATTAAAATGTTTATATGCAATAAGATCAAATAATAAATCAAAATGGAGTCCATATGAAAAGAATATGCTTGGATAGAGATTACAATTTTTTAATATTTTATTTGGGAATTCACTTATACAACTTTAGGATTATCTCTTTTTGATTGAATTATACTCTGATAAACTTAAGTTAGAAGATTTAGTCTAATATTAGAGACCAAATTAATTTTAATAAGGATTGAGTTTAATTTTATTTTTAGAGTAAATTTTATAATCTAGAATATCAAATGAATAAGAAAGTTCATATACAGAAACAATAATTTAAGAAATTAAGAATAATAATTTATTCAATTAATAATAAAAGTAATAATAAATTTTATAATTTTTATCTATTCAACATTCACAAATGATAAATTTACCATTGAAGGTGGATGATTGGATTAGTAAAATTTTTTAATGGAAGGTTAATTAAAATTCAGTTTAATATTCATAAGAATGGTGGTTAGGTTTATCAAATTAATTGGAAGACTTTGAAATCTAATCTCCTGAATTAGCTGGTCTTTATTATTTTTTAAGTACTAAATTCAATCGAAATATAGAGAAGATTTATAGTTACTTAAATAAAAATCATGATCCAATGTCTTTATTTTTAGAATTCTTAATATATAATTAAGATAAAGCTAATGTGAAAATCCATAAAAGAATTATTACAAATAAATTAACATTTTTAATTGAGAATAAAGAAAGAAGTGAATTTATATAATTGATTCTTGGTTAATTTATAGAATTATTCACAGCAAGCGAATAATAAAGATATTTAGAATCAATATCAAGAATGTAAAATACATTGTTTTATTTAAATAATATGGAAGAAAGTGATGATTAAATTGATTCTATAAAAGTCGACAGTTAAATTCATTTACAAAAATTGATAAACTAACAAGATTATATAAATTTAGGAAATTATATTTTAGATTTGAATTCTTCTAAATATTAAAACCTTTTAAAGTTTTTGTTTGAATATACAATTCCGATTTTAATAATTTTTGGAGAAGTAAAATAATTGGAAAAAATAATAAAAAAAATAGATGATTTATAAAATTCAGAATAATCAATATATAAATTTTCAAATAGAGACAAATAAATATTAGGGATGAGTTAAGTAAGTATAAAAATTATAATTTAGATATTTATTGGAAGTAAAAAGTATGATGATGAAATGTTCTTTAACTTTGAACCAAAAAACGTTTTTGAATACTAGATGTTATAAGTATTAAATGAATATTAATTAATATGAAAAATGTAAATATAAAATATGATTAAATATAAAATCACATACATTCGTACATAAATATAAGTGCTTTATATTAGGATAATTCATCTAAACCATTTTGCATGAGATTGATATAATCTTATGAGTAAGCATTTTATATTTATTTTAAAGCTTTGTTCAATTATTCTTAACCAATTTATCTTAAGAGTAATTGATAAAGCAATTCTTTAGGTGTTTCACAAACAATATCTTCATCATCTTAAAATGTTTCTCTTTCTGCATTTTCATTTGATGCATTAGATTTTTATTCTAGACTATCATCATCTTCTCTATCTACACTTTCTCTTACTGATTATTGCATATTAATTAAATCACCATCACCTACATTAATAACTTAAGAATGTTTAACATCTCCACCTTCTGCAGCTATTACTATATCTTCTAATTCCGCTAGTAATTATGATGCTTCATTTTCTTATTCTTCAGAATTTTTAGAAGCTTCTTTTATTACTTCTTGGATTTCTGATTAGGTATTGCTATTTCTTTGTCTTTTCATTTCCATTAATTATTTCATCTTCTCTCTTTCATCTTTATTGTCATTTTTTATTTCTCTTATCTCTTGTAAAATTAATTGACTTTCTTTTAATTATTATTTACTAGGTTTTACAGATTCAGTTTTTTAAATAATATCCTATTATTATTATTATTATGTAGGAGGTGGTTAAGAAATATATTATGCTACTTATATTCTTTCAGTTTAAGGTGCTTAATATACACTATCTCTCTATTCTTTTTAATCTCTTTAAGATGAAGGGGTCTATTATTATAATTGTAATTCTATTTTTTATTGCAAATCTAGTTTTTATTATTATTCTTGCTTTTATTATTAATTATTATTGATTTGTTCAAATTTAATTGGATCTTTCACTGATACTGGATCAGATTATTATTTTTAATATTTATATTGTATTTATGGTTATGAATATGGTTCTCTAGATAACTTAGGTAATTCATACTTATCAGGTTATAAGTATTTTTGTTTATTTTCTTATAGCTATTAAAATTTTTCTTCATTTTTTTTAATTTATTATCTAACTTATTCTCTCTATATTTCAAATGGAGATTTATCTCTAACATCTTTATTAAAGGGTGATTTGCTTAATGGTGATCTATCATCATAATAAGGGGATTTATCATTTCTTTATGGATTTAATGGTGAAATATTAGGTCTATTATTTACTTATAATGGTTATATTTATTATTATTATTATTATTATTATTACTATTATTATTATTATTATTATTTATTGTATTAATATTTTTGATAATTCATGTATGGATTATAGTTTTATTAACCAGGTTTAGATATGTAATCATAATTCTAAATTAATTAAATAAAATATTTACAGATGGTAAATGTTATTAATATAATTATTTTTGTTTTAATAAATTATTTTATGGTTATCCTCTAGCATTAAATGCCAATAAATAATTACTTGGTTATTATTATTAGTATTATTATATTGGTTATTATTATTAAATTTTACCAAGGTTAGGTTATGAATAAACACTTCTTAATTCAGTATCATATGGAACAATGAGATTATGATTAACAAAGTTTTGTTTATGTAAAATAGTATGTGAGAATTCAGCATTCCTTATACTTTCTGATAACACACTTCTGATTCTATTAACTATGATAGGCCTAAATAAATAAATGATAGAATATACATTTTTAAGACTTCATGAATATTAGGTCTTCTATTTGGATCAACCTAAAGTAAAGAAGATATTAATTATCTCATATTAGTTGAAAACTTATCAGGAATAGGGTTATATTAACCTCTAACAATTTTAAGAGCCAATCCATGTAAAGATTCTGCATTAAAAGGAGGTTTAAGAGTACATAATTCATAAAGTATAATACCTAAAGACCAGATATCAGTTTTAAATGAATAATCTCTACTCTCAATAATTTCAGGAGATAAATAATACGGAGTTCCTACTATAGTTTTACATTTTTCTCTAGTGTGATTTAAAACTCTAGCAATTCCAAAATCACCTAATTTAATAATACCATCTTATGTCAGAAATATATTTTATGTTTTTAAATCTCTATGTATAATTTTTCTATCATGAACATGTTTTATTGCTAAACATATTTATGTGAACCAATCAAGAATCTATACTTCACTAAACATACATGATCCTGTCTGTTTTATTTTATTACTTAAATCGCCACCATCAGCATAATCCATAACAATGCATAACCTACCCTTTTTTGTTTTATACACTTCTCTAAATTTAACTATATTAGGATGTCTTAAAGCTTCTAATATTCTTGCTTCTTTAATTGTTTCTCTTCTTTCATCTTCTTTCATTTAATTTAAATCTACTTATTTAATTACACAAAGAGTTCCATCTTAAATACATTCTACTAAATATGCCTTTCCAAATGAACCTTCTCCTAGTAATTTGATTCTTCTATAAATCTCGTTCTCATTCTATGCCATCTTTTATATTTGAATTTAAATTAAACTACTATAAATAATTGTTAATTTAATATCCAAATATTTCATATTAAGTTCAATACTGTTTATTATTTTATATAGCAATTACTAATATATCATTCATCTCATAATTAACCAAGCTACATTAAATCATCTGGTCTCTCTCCTTATTCTCCAAAAAATACAGGCAACATCACTCTTTAATCTCATATTCTATATTTAATATATTGATAAACACTTACAACTTTATTTAAATCTACTAATTTCTATTTTTATTCTTTAATTTACTTTTCTAATTCATATTATAATATATTTATTTTATTATTATTGCCTTCTCTTTAATTAATGGATCGAAGTAGATTTAACAATTCATTCAATTATCAAAGTTTTTATTCTTTCTTTTAAAATAATTAATTGCGCTTATGAGTTCTCCAACATTATTGCTAGACTTATCATATAAATCTAGATATCAAATCTCTGCATTCCATATTTTAAACATTTATCAGGAGGATCTCAAATAAATATTAACACTATAATTAATTAGTTAAAGTAAAATTTTCTTATTTTAATCTCAAGATTTTTTCTTTCAATGTTTATATTTATGCATCCCTCTCTCTTAATTATAATGTTTCCCTCAATTCCTATTGGACTTAAATAGATATTTTTTAAAGTATCATCACAATATCAAATCAATAACAAAGATTTCCTTACTGCACTACTACATATTTAATTTTTATATCCAAGAAATTATCAGCTTTTCAATTTTTATAATTATGTTATTATCTTAATATTCAATTATTATTCAATCTCTATCCAATTTCTTATCATTACTTAAGACTTATCTCTTTACTATTAATATCGATATTCAAATATCTCCACTAATTTATATAACTAATTAATGATTTTTTAAAGGTAATTCTAAATTCTATGGTCAAAATTATATTTAGTTATTAATTTTCACTTTCTCAATTATGAATAACCCTCTCAAAATAAATATTATTACGAAAATTCTACTAATTAAAAATTAATATTATAATAAACTTATTTATGTTTATGGATATAATATTTTAAGATTTTACTTAAGCTCTCATAAATAAAATCTCTATTTATATTTGTAATAATACAACTAAATTTAATTTATAAATTAGGATAAAATCATGTTCTAAATTAATTTGATAAAAATGAAAGGAAATATTGAAATTTATAATTTAATTAAATAAGTTAAAAAAATAATAATAAATAAGTTTTACTTAAAAATATAACTGCATGAATAATAATAATCTATTTAATTTAATAAAGTATTTAATTAGAAGGAATAGTGTTTTAAATAGAGAGCCCTTTTGATAATAAAGGAAAAATGGGAAAAATTGATGATTCTGCTGAAAGATGGATTGTAGAATTATTAAAGAGAAATAATTTAGGAAAATGATTTGAATATAATGAGTTAAAAAAAGGGAAAAGGTAATCAATATATATGATTGTTAATTATATATATAATGTTGGAAAATATTAAATATTTATTAATTCCACAATCGAGAGAGAGATACGGAATTTATCCAAATGTTTTGAAAGAAGTGTTTAGCTAATTGTCACGAAGTGCATAGCTATACATTTATTTTACAATAACAAAATTAGTGATAACATTAATTTTTTTGGGAGAAGGATTATAATGTGAGATTTCGGTGTCACATTCAATAGCAACAACAATAATATTACACTGTATATTCCTATTATGCCATGAGTTTAAGTACAAGATGGAATTGGAAAACATTGATAAATTAAATATAATTCAATAATCATTAGAATAATAAGGAGTGAATTTAGAATAGATCCCAGATAGATAAGGATTGAACAAGTTAATGATGACAGTAAAGAAATTAATATTTGCTTAATGTCCAGATTTGAATGTAAAATACAGTAATATTTAAATAGAGAGAATCGAAATATTTGAACTTTTTTGCATAGGTGATAATAATGAGGTTTTTTTTTTTGATGTTAGATTCGCCATTTAATTTTAATATTTTTTAATACTTTTAGGATAGTTGTGAAGCCAATTTACTAAACATAACATTGATAATGGTTTTATCAATGTTTTTGGAATTTATCTTTTTGTATTGTTTAGTGTTTGCTTTATTGATTGCATTACCGTAGAATTTAAATTTAAATATTATTTTAGATTGTTATGTTGTTTATCAATATATAGAAAGGGTAAATAATTGTATTCGATTCGTCGATTAAAATAATACCTAGATTCAATTCCAGTTCATAAGTATTAGGGAATAGATGATCCATGGATGAAGGAAGATAAAAGTTGTTGTATTTGTATGCAAGAATATGCATAATATGAGAGTATTCTGTAATTACCTTGTAGTGGATAACACTAATTCCATGAAGTTTGTGTTAGAAATTGGTTTAATGTATTAGATTTATTATTATTATGACTAATAGGTATCTACTAATTGTCCAATTTGCAGATAATAGTTAGGTTGACAATTTACATTTTAATATCTATATATATATATAATTGAAATTCATGTTAAATATAAATAATGTGGGAAATTGAATAATTATTATAATTAACGAATTTTTGAGAGAATCAATGGATCAATTTAAAAGAATCAAGAAAATTGGGAAAGGTAATTATGGGGATGTATTGTTGGTGTAAAGAAAATCCGATGATAAGGTATAATTGATTTGTTATCTTTTAAAGTTTTTTGCTATAAAAAGAGTAGATTTGAGTTTTAAAGAGAGTTATGTAGTTGATCCATTAAATGAAGTTAAATTGTTACGTAGTTTAGATCATCCTAACATTATTTCACATTACGATTCTTTCACTCATAATAATAAGTTGTGTATTGTTATGGAATATGCTGAAAATGGTATACAATTCTTATCCAATTCTTGTAGCCGATCTAAGTATCATGAGTAATCAAGCCAAATAAACATAAACATATATTGATGAAAATACAGTTTAGTATTTTAATTATGCAATATTATAGATTCTTGGATGGTTTTCCTAGATATCCATTGCCATTCAATATCTACATTAACTGAAGATTATACACAGAGATATCAAATTATAAAACATCTTCCTATGCACTAATGGAATTGTAATATTCCTTATTAAATTTCAAGGTCAAATTAGGAGATTTCGGAATCTCTAGAACTTTAGATAATACCTTAGATCTTGCATAAACATCAATAGGTACTAATCTATTTTTTTTATATCCAAGGAACTCCCTTCTATCTCTCTCCTGAAATCTGTCAAAATCAACAATACAATCATAAAATTGATATCTGGATGCTTGGATGTACTCTCTATGAATTATGTTCTCTACAAAAACCATTCAAAGGTGAATCTATTAGTGAAATTGCATTTAAGATTATCAATGAACCTCATCCCAAAATTTCAAAAAATTATTCAGATTTTATCTCACAATTAATAGATGAAATGTTAGATAAGAATCCTGATAAACGACCTGATATCTCGACTATTGTGTAATATCCATAAATTCAATCAGAACTATATAAATTACAAGGATTTTATAAGACTTAATTTAATTACATATTACCAGTATAATCTATGCAATCAAATAAATCTTCACAAAGAAAAATGCATAAAAATTCTATCCATTTTTTAGTTGAATAATCTAAATAATTACAATAATAATAATAATAATAATAATAGCAACCATAATAATCACCATAGGTTAGCAAGTAAAAAAAGAGAAAAGTTTCTTTGTAATAATTAATTCAAGATACTTCAAATTAAAATTCACCTACTTTCAAATAATTGGCAACTGCTGATAATGCTTATAAAAATAAACCATTATCATTTAATTTACATACTCTTCCGGATGTCATTAATGAGTCAATATAATAGAATTCAGCTGTCTTAGCTTAAAGATAATTAAGATATTAGAAATCAATATCAATAAATACACAAATTGATGATGCTACTAAAAGAAGTTCAAATGAATATGAGAATGAAAATTAACCTACACTACTTAAGAATCCAAAGACTTTTTAATTTGCTGGTTAATTTTTAAATCCTAATGCACCTACTTCTCCTTAAAGATCAATTTTATTGACTGATTTTTTAAAGAGAAAGATTGGAGAAGAGAAATTTTAATAGATGAAGGCATTGATAGAATCATCAAATAATCCAATGAAGATGTTGGATTAAGAGAAAGTATTGGTAAGTGAAATATTGGGAGAAGAAAATATTGAATGCATCAAGGTATTGGATTAAATAAAATGATTATAGATATTTAAAGTGTTGATAAGTAGTTCAATTACACCGTAAGCTTAACATAATAGAACAAAAAGTAGCCAATCATTTTAATAAGAGAATCATAATGATCAAACATTGATTGATTTAATAAAAGAAGCTGATTTAATTCATAATATAGAAAACTCTTAGAATTCAGTGTTTGAGATTTCATTTAAAAATTTATAAAATTGCCATGACGCTTTTAAACAATCATGATTAACTAAATGTTATAAAATAATCAATTATCATATAATTATGATTTATAGATGATTGATTAAAAAGTAATGATTATATGAGATATAAAAAAGAGTATGTAAAGTGGTTTAAATCCGTCTTCTTGGATATTATTATATATATGTATATAAAGGGATAAATTAAAAATAATTAAGGCAATAAATAATTAAATATTTTAATGAATTAAAGTAGATATGGTGTTGGAAATAGATCAAGTGCATCTTAGAGTTAAATCTAATAAAAGCCTGTAAAAGGATTATGGGGAAAGTTAATAAGATTTTTCTAAACAGGATTTTTGAATCCAAGATATCTGTATAGATAATCAAGAAGATTATTATGGGTTGGAACAACAGGTATAAAATAATAATAATAAAAATGAAAAGGATTAATATTTTTATTAGCTCCATTTGCATTTTCTCATTTTTTGGAAGTGAGCGAGGAATTGTCATAGATATCAAGAATGGGTGCATAAGAAAGTAATAAAATAAAAAACTAAATTAGTGAGCAAAATATGATGAATGATTATTATATAATATAAGTTCAGGGAATAATATTTTTAAATATATTTATAGAGAAGAAAGATAATTTAAAAAAATAAGAACAATGTTTGAATAATAAATTTTTTTTTTTATGGTAATGGTAATTCAAGATGTTGAATGATGTTAAGAGTGAGAAGGGGATCTTCTTTTATGTTATGTATTCTTTTTTTAATCTTCTTTGGGACTATTGCTATATTTACGTCTATTACGACGATCTCTATTTCTTCTTCTAGAACGAGAAGATGATTAAGAAGAATGTGATCTTGAATCAGATCTTCTTCTATGATGTCTATAAAATTAAATATGTAAATAAAAACCTTTATCTAGAATTAGAGTATCTTTAATTTCTACGAGGAGATCTTCCTTTAGGACAATCTCTAGCCCTAAAATATTTATAATTGAATAAATTACCAATGTCCTTCTTAACCGCATTTAAAACAGCCAGCGTTTTCATTAGGTCCAGTTCTCCTTCCTTTACGATTCTCAACAGGAGCGACTTTTAATTTCTCTCCATTTTATGTAAAGCCATTCATCTCTGAAAGTGCCTCTTTAGCTTCTACTTCACTATTAAAAGACTGGTGAACTTAAATTCAAACGAGTTTACAATAAAAGAGTAAGAACCCTTATATGCCACTCCTTAGATTGAGTCATACTTTCTAAAGATTTATCTCAAATCTCTTTCATCTGTTACTTTACTACGACTGTATCCAGTTACGAACAGCTAATGATTAGACACAATCTCATCCATTAATTAAATTATTTTGCTTATCTAAAAATCATTATACCTAGGTCATAAATAATTAAAATATGAGTGTTTAAAGATTGCCTCTTGAAAAATAGGCTACTCCACGTCATCATAGTTCTAAACCTATTCAATAGATATCTACTACTGCTAGAACCATTACTAAACCTTCACTACTTTAATAAGATATCCATCCTGACAATACTCTACTTTCATTCATGAAATCATTAGATTCTAAATAAGCAGCTGTTCTTAATCGATCTATTAGAGATGGAGAAAAACTACATGTAATAACTTCTTTCTATCCTTATTAGAAACCTCTAATCAAGCCTAGAACTTACATCTCTCAATAAAAAACTATTCCAACATCTAACGTAGAGAAATAAATTTTAAATAATCTTGAAACAAGGTATTCTTTTTTCATACTAACAAGAACCTTATAGAATACAAAAGCTTCCAAAATATGAATAAGAATTAGTGTTACAAATACTAGCATCCATTGAAAATGGATAACCTAAACATGAAGAACTTATCTCCTTCTTCAAAAGTAAAAGAATACATCTCAAAATTCATTCCAATTATGGCAATCAAAGTCAAGTTGGATTAACTAGTATTGAATTATTCAATAATAACAGAAAATATGTCAAAATCAATTGCATTTATTCTGATGATGATTCTCATAAAACTATCAACAATCTCATTAATGGACATAATCTAACTATATCTCCTGAATAAATGTGGATTACCAATTTTAAATCATTCCCTATTACCATTACTATTTGTTATTTACTTCAAGATGAATCAGAAATACTTACATCATTAAAAATTTGGAATTTTAATAAAAATAGAAAGGAATTAGATAAATGTGTTTGTGATTTAGAAGTCTTATAAAATGAGTATATATTATGGTCAGGATAGATTGCTAAAGGAGTTGCTAATACATTTTCAGAATATGCTTAAACTATTCAATTACAACCATAAGCATAACAATAATCAAATATTAATGCTACGAATGAAACTAAAATCAAATATTAAAATGATTCTACATAACCATTCAATTAATCATCACAATCAATTAATTCCAAAAAATCAGATGAAAATAAAGAGTAATATTATTCTCTCTATCTAGAATTAATTTATCCAAGGCGTCAAGTCAATAAAAACACGCTAAACCTAAATTAATTTTTGATCCTTTTGATGATGATAAGAAATTCAAAAAATTTGAATAAAAATAAGAACCCTCATCTGTTAAAACTAAATAAACTATTCATCAATAAAGATTTTTCAAAAAATCTATTAACTTATTCTCTTAAAAGTAATTAACTGAAGAAGATTCAAGTAGTCCACCACTTAATTTTAAAAGAGGAGTAGCTCATATTGCTGCAGGAACTACTTCTACACGTTCTAAAAATATATCAATTCCAGAATGTCCTTTTGGATCTAAATTAATTATTAAATTCCTAAAAAATTGGGGAGATCTCTATTCAATAGGATTAACTGGAATTGAAATATTTGATTGTCAAGGTAATAAAGTTAAAGTTAATTTTGTTTCTGGTTTTTTCAAAAATCCTGCTATCTTATTTGATGATAATTATTTAACTTAAGATGATAAAAACATGTGTATTGAAAGAATAGATAAGAATATGGAAATTACAATCAAATTTAATGAAACTAAATTATCAATGATTAGAATTTGGAATTATAATAAGGGTAGAACTTATAGAGCAAAATGTGTACGTAACATAGAAATAGTCTTAGATACTGATTCAATATTTAGTGGAGAAATCAAATAAGCTAATGGTACATGTGGTATAGATAATGCTGAATATATAATGTTTACTAGTAATCCTTTAATTATGGACAAAATTTAAGAATAAGATTGGCTTAATAAATTACATGAAAGTTAAATACAACAATAAAAGAATATTCTAGAAAATACTGTTAAATTGAGTAGACCAGATACGGCAACATTTAATAAACCTAAAGGTGAAATAACAGCTCAAAAATTTGCAAATAACAATAATATTTCAAATAAAGATTATTAACATTAAAAAAGTGATTCGATAACATAAATAATTAAATAGGAATCTGAATAGAAATTAACATAGCATTAAAAGAGATTGTTTTCGTCTTAAAATTATATAAATGTAAAGACTTTAGCAACGGTTACAGTAAAAGTATTAACGTTGTATATTATAAGAAATTGGGGTGATAAATTTGTTGGAGTAGATAAGATTGATATTCATGACAAATTTGGATAATCAATGAGAATAAAGAAATATAAAGTTATAACATCTTAATCTGAGACAGTAGTGAATAGTGATGAAAGATGGTAATTGAATAATGGAAAGATAAAGATACAATTTGTATTTATGTAGCCAACTCAAATAAGTAGGATTGCAATTTGGAATTATAATAAGGAAGATGAATTAGAGAAGGGAGTTCAAATGATTAATATAAAAGGTGATACCCAAATTCTGAATAGTTAATAAGGTATTTATTTAAGAAAAGGTCATGGATTAAGTGATATAAATGAACCTTAATTGATTGAATTACCTTATCAGAGAAGGATTGATCTAGTGATGGTAAATTATTAATTCGAAAGAAATAAATATTAAGATTATGAAACTACATAATTACCATAAGGAACAAAGATTGTGATAAAATTATTATCAACATGGGGTGATTTACATTATATTGGATTAAATGGTATTGAAATATATGATCCAAATGGAGAAAAGCTTTATCCAAAATTATTGGCAAAACCATTTTCAGTTAAAGAATTACCTCAAATGGAAATGGATGTAAGAACTCCTGATAAATTGTTAAATGATATAAATATAACTTTGGATGCAAAGTAAATGTGGTTATCACCTTTCGTTAATTCATATACAGATAGATTAAAAACGAATATAAATTCGAGTGTTTTTGATCAAATTAGTTACTAAGTGAATAAATTAATTTTATTATTTGATACTCCCTAATAAATATCTGCCATATCCTTTTATAATTATAGCAAGACACCAGTCAGAGGAGTTAAGGAATGCGAAATTTCAATTGATGATAATATCATGTATTAAGTAAATCAATTCTTTATTGTAAGGGTTATTTAAATTTATCAACCTTAACTCAAACTGTAAGAGGAATGATGGGTAATAATAAAACTACTGTATTGTTTACAAATGATGAAAGATTGATCGATTAAATTGGAACTGTGGAAATTAGAGAAAGTATCATAGGATCTGAAACACTCTTTATAAATGAAAATTAGGTAATACTTTTCATATTAATATATTTAGAGATTAAAATATAACAGTATAAAAAATAAAGAGGTCAGATTATAATAATAAGGATTGTATAAAGAATTAGATAGACCAACTACAACTTAAGTTTACTGATTTTTATACTTTCATTTTGTTGAAAATTTTGTTAAATTATTATAGATTAAGTATCATGATCAATATTTACATTATTCTGTTTATAATCTATTCTTTATAGGAGGTAATACAAAATATCCAGATCTTTTATTTTATGTATTATTATTATTATTTTGAAGATTGTAATATAGATTAGGAGATATTTAAGGTAATCTATTATTACTTATCGATTTTATTGAAGGTCTAGAAGTTTTCACCTATTAGATAGATTAGGATTTGGGCTACTTGTAATCAATAAATAGAGGACATCCTTCATTATCATATTCCACATATAAAATCTTTGTTGTTAATATATCTGAACAACTTGGCCTTTTTTTTGGTTCCTTTGATAACATTTTCATCAATAAATTAGTCAGTTATTTGTTATCAAATAATTCTACTCTGATCTTAATCCAATCTAAATTACATTCCTTATTCTGTTATTTCAAAACTATTTGATTTTAGGAATCAAATAATGGTTTATTAGTAATTCTTATTTATATACTTATTAAATTACAATCTATAAAGAATACAACCAAGACTGAAGATATCACATTTTTCATCATAACTAACATTCTTATTCTCTTCACAATCAAATATTTCAGGTGCCATAAATCCAAAAGAACCACAATATTTCGCTACATCCATTTCATCTTTTATTTCTGAACTAACACCAAAATCACTTATTACTATATTTGGATCTTGTTATGCTTTTAGTGAAAACTATTTTAAATTCATTGGTTTCTTCAATAAAATATTACTTGGTTTCAAATCTCTATGCATAAATCCTTATTAATGTATATATTTAATAGCCTCTACTATTTATCTAAAAATAACCTTCACTGTTAAAAATGGTAAAGGTTCTTCTAACTTTTTTAATCCTTATTCAAGAGTTCCTCCTCTTGCTAAATCCATTACAATATATGATTAAGCTCTATTTTCAAAATGATCATGAATTTTTAAAATACTTGGATGCTCTAATGATTTCATCACTTTTATCTCATTTTCTATTGATAACTATTATCTAATCAAAGTTATACTCTCCATGAATTTGGATTTATTTGTATTAACATTTTCTTTAAAAATGCCTTAATCGCCACTTTAGATCCATCTAATTTCTTTTTAGCAATGTATACAGAAGCATAACTACCATTCCCAACTAATTTTTCTAATTCATAATAAGTTTGATAATCCAATTAAGGAATCTTAGATTTTAATTTCTTTTCCCAAGGTTCAGCTTTATCAAGGAATAAGTATTCTTTAAAATTACATTCATCTTTCTCTAATCTTAAAATAATCGAAGCTTATTCATGTTTAATTTAAAATCTAAGAGCACTATTCAGAATGACAAATTTAAGCGATTTTTGTGACTTAGTATATTGTTAGATAATACCTTCCTATATAATTAATTATCATAACAGAGCAATTCTATTTGATTTTTGTTTTTGTTTAAGAATTTTGATTGTAATTAAAAATAGTGTAATGAACTAGTTGAGATTTGTTAAAATATTTTATTAGACATAGAAATATTTATTATTATAATTAAAATTCATAATTGACATTAAATTTTTACTCCTCTAAAATCAATTTATTTATGATGTTCTAATCTTATCAAAATAGAATCTTGTATATTTTCAATGAAATCATTAAAATATGCCTTTATGAGACAAACATTAAAAGGTGATTTTTTCAATCAAATTCAACTTTTTTATTTTTTGATCTCATTTTTCTTCTTTAAATTACTAAATCATTCTAAAATTTATTAGGATTCTCAAAATGAAATCACTAAAGAATACATAGTAATGATATTTTATATTGGGCATAAACATATTCTACCTAAATATGAATATATTACTGTATCATCATATAGTTTAAGAGGAAAATTTTCATAAAAAGATAAAGCTATACGCTTTTAATTCTATTACTATAATTGTTAAATTTATTTGGGTTAAATTCAATATTTTTAAGTAAAAAAAAAAATATAACAATTGTTATTAAGATTAATAAACTTAAGAACCTGTTTATTAAATAATCATGTTCCATTATGGTTAAACTGTTAAAACCTGCGAGATGAGTATGATTATAATTTCAAATAAACTCTAACATCCTCAATAGTCATACATCAATGTTAATCATCAATATAATAATTTAAATTTATTATGTGAGTTGAGAAAAGAATTAATAATAACATGCCAATTCCAAGAAATTCAAATCTTGGAATAAAGGCATAAGAAACATTTTTAGCTAACTAATCACCAAAACGAATCATATAAGTTTTTCTTTGGCATTGAATTTTTACCAATTGTTAAATTTTGGGTAAAAAATTATGATTAGATTTATAATCCTTCTGATTTATTAAAATATCCTCTTGCTGAGAGTTATTTACTATTATGGAGTTTTGGTAATATGCTTAAAAATGGTTAATAACTAAATAACTATTATTAATTAACAAATGAATAAAACCTTTATCTTGAATTTATATTTTTATTATTTAAGAATATCATGGATTTAGAAAAAAATTTAACATAGTTATATGAAACAACTTTGTAAACAAATAAATATTTAATCTTAAAATAAGAATAAAAATTAGAAATTTCTAAAGTTTCAGAAGATGGATAATTCAATTTATATATTTTTTTCTTAAAAGAGGAAGAATTATCGGATGATTTTAGTAATTACACTATGGAAAAAGAAAAAAAATAAATAAAGTAGAAATTAGAAATATTGAAAGAGAATATTCAGGCTCTTTTGAACTAAGAATATGTGGAAATTTTAAGTGTTAATCTTGTTCTCTTCAAAAATGTAAGTAAAATATTAATATAAGACAAAAATTATAATTTTACTCATCTTTTTGAAGAAACTAGTTTGAAATTAAATTATTTACATAGATAATAATTACATAGGTTTAAGAATTTATCAGAAAAAATAATAGCTGAAAATTCTAGATTAATAGAATCTTATAGAGAATAAGATAATGAATAAGACGAAGATTTTGATTCAAAAGGGAGTATAACAAATTAAAATGGTTAGTGAAGTTATTCCAAATAAATATAAGCAAAATATTAAATAATTTTTTTTAATTCACAATATTAATTAAATATAATTTAAGATTGAATTTAAATTTTATAATTACATTTGGAATAATTTAAGATTGATGGAAATTTTTTTATTTTTTGTTGATTTATTTTATAAATTGAAATAATTTATGAAAAAATTAAAAAATATTAGAGATTCATTTCTCCATATTGATCGGAAATGTAAGAATAAGAATTTATTTGTAAATTGAAAAAGCAATAGAAAACTTAGATAAGAACTAAAGATTTATTTTCTAATTGAATGGAAAAGTAAATATATAAATTTTGCAATATATGACATTTCTTAATAACTATAAATGGAATTTAATACATAATTAGATCCATTTTATGAATTGAGTTTTTACTTAACATCAAAATTACTATTTTATTGAGAACTAATTCTAATTCTATTTTCTTATATATAATAATGTTTTGATAAGCCAGAAATAAGTCAATTTATATTAAGAAATGGCAATATAAAAATAAAAGATCCTAAATTTGATTAGATTTATTAGAGACATAATGATTAAGAATATAAAGAATAAGTTGATATAGGAATTAATTCTATATACAAAATATTAAAAAATATAAATGAAGATTGAATAACGATGAAATAGAAAGTGGACTTGCATAAATGGGTAGTTAAAGTAATAAAAATTAATGAGATTGGATAATAGTTTAGGTAGATATTGTTAATTATTGATTATGTAATATAGTATAATGACTATATATTAAAAATATAAATAATAATTAAAGATAGAAAGAATGTCAGACGCTCCAAGAGTAATGAAAAATAACATAATAGAAATTATTTTTTCGTAATACGTCTAATCAGCCGTAACAATAGTCGTTAGCAAAATAAGGAAATGAATAACCAAATCAAGAAGGAAATGTGATGCCTACAATATAAACAAAAGAGTTAAATTAGTTAGGATTGGATGCAATATAACCAGGAGAGTTGGGTATGTAATAAATAAATGTATTATGTTTGAATGGTGTATAATAATTTTAAGGAATGTTAGTGGCAACAAATTATAAAGTAAGATAGTTAATTTGATAAGAGATTGTATTTTTACCTTAAAGGTTTCTTAAAGAGTATAAAAAGGATTACTTTGAAGTGCCTTATACTTTTTTGATAAAAGTAGAGAGAACAATAGATAAGAAGTAAAATGATTCAAATTAAATTGAGATATCATCGAAAGATGGTAGATAATTTAAATATAGATTTTAGAGAGAATAAAGTGAAGATTGTAGTTGTTTGTTTAATGTTATAAATAAGAATGCTTTTACTTTATAGAAGACAACTTTGTTTGCATTTACATATTATAGAGAGATGTAAAGTTTAGAAAATGATTATCAAGGATGGAAGATATATAATATGGAGAGAGATTTTGAAAGAATGGGTATAATAATATAATAAGAGAATTAATAATAATAATTAATTGGATTATTTAAATATTTAAATAATGAAGGTGGATAGATATGTGCAACTTATTATAATAGATTGGTAGTACCTGCAAAAGTAGATATGGATTGTATATAGAAGACAGCAAAATTTAGATCTAAAGAGAGAATTCCAATTTTATCTTATGCATTTAAAGTAGATGGAAAGATAGTATCATTATGGAGAAGTGGATAATGTAGAGTAGGAATAGGATAAATTAGATCATTAGAAGATGAATTATATTTAAAATAAATGAGTCAATAATTAATTGATGAAATTGATAATAAATAGGAAGAGATTAAATTAAGAATTTATGATGCTCGTTCTGATGTTAGTTCTATAGGATAATAAGTTAATGGTAAAGGATTTGAAAATCCAATATATTATAAAAATTGTAGTGTAGATTTTCTAGAGATCGGAAGTATTCACAAAATTAGAGAAGTTTAATTAAAATTATTAAAAAATTCATATAGGTATTAATGTGTAATTAAGGAATAGTGAGAATATCTCATTTATATCATAATTGGAAATATCATAATGGTATGATCAAATAGTTTCATTAATATAAGGATCTGTTAGAATTGCTATGACATTAACTAAAGAAAAATTAAATGTATTAGTTCATTGTTTAGATGGATCGGATAAAACACCTTAATTAATATCTTTAGTTTAAATTATGATAGATGGATATTATAGAACTATAGATGGATTTATGATCCTTATTTAAAAAGAGTGGATTAATAATGGACATTAATTTTGTTAGAGATCTGCTATTGGTAATAAATAACACAATGATGATTGTCGATCACCAATATTCCTACAATTTCTAGATTGTGTCTATCAAATGATATAACTTTATCCATTATCTTTTGAATTTAATGTCAAATTATTATTAGATTTAGCATACCATCATTTATCATCTCTTTTTGGAAGCTTTCTATGTGATTCATTTCTGGTATTCATATTACTTATTCTCTTTTTAGGAAATATAAAAATAAAAAGTTATGGAATCTACTGTCTCCATTTGGTCTTGGATGCTTAAATAAAAAGATAAATATAAAAATGCATTTTATTTAAATCCTTCTTCCATTGAATTTGAAGTAATTATCCCAGAATCATTCACAGGAAAATCTATCAAATTTTGGCAAGAATATTTTCTTAATTATTCTACTGAATTTAATGATGTCTACTGTATACATTCTTCTTCTACATTCACTAAGTAATAAATTATTCCTTATCTTTTTAGGGATAACCTGTAAGAAATGTATAAATCATTAGCCAAAGAAAATTAAGTCTTGAGATTAGCTTAAATCGATCATGAAAAATTGGCCCATCTTAATCAATAAAAGTTTAATCAACTTATACAAATCATTTAAGAAACTAAAAATGAAAAAATCATTGAAAAACTTGAATCCATTTAACTTACATGAAAATGATTTAATTTGCTTTTTTTATAATTATGTATATATATATAAATATATATATATA